ATCTCCATAGCATTGAGACGATCCTCCAGCTGTTCGTATTTATCATCAGCAGGAGGATACTGCTCCTCAGAATAATCAGCTTTGTCTTTATCAGTTCCCGGGTTGTTATCTTCTTCATGATTATCCCCCTTATTTGATGGAGTTGAAAGATCTAGAGCTCCTTTAACCGGTCTTCTGAGTCTTCTTCCTATATTAAGGATTCCATCCGGTTTCTTTGCCTTATTCTTCTTCTCTTTGATGAAGAGAGCTTTCAGTTCTTTCTGTCCCTGGGCCAAAGCCATGAACATTTGTTGAAACTGAGTATTTTGAGTCTGTAGATCCTTCACTGTTTGTTCTAGAGCCATTTCTTTTGCTGAAATAAACAACGAAAAGATGAGAAACCTGCTTTGAAACCTGCTTATGCAGTGATATGTATGATATATGTATGCAATGTTTTCAAGGATCTCACAGGGTAACGACAAAGATATGTTAGGAGTTGAGTGCAGCCTTGATTGAAGAACTTTGCATCGTTGAGCGTCCTTCTACGAGAGTCAAGCTCACCATATCGAGTGGGTCATAGCCCATGGCTCAAGTTGTCATGTTTTAGTCTTTTGACAACATTGGCTAGAAGAAAATAAATCCCCTTGCCCCTTGCTAGACGTCTGATTTATCAAAACCTGCATCACAAACCCTTGAGATCCTTGAAATGGTTAAGGAAATGATGTGGCATGATGTTATGATGTCATGATTATGCTAAAAAATCACAGATATAGCAAGCACAAGCAAATCACACCAAGACCTTATGTTTAAGGCTTGCATGGGTTTTAAGGTGATACCCTCTTGAAGTTTGGATTGGTTCAACCTGTCTTAGTAATAGTAACTGGGTTCCAAGGGATCTCAATATCACCGATCTTTCTCACAATTTTCATTCTGATAGGTGACTGACTCACAACCAAATAAAACTCGGGAGTCAAATCTCAATGAGTGTAGCATCGAGTATCTGCCGACTTTGGGAATACACCAAAGGCGGCCATCTCACTACGTCCTAATGGCCAAGTTGTTCAATTAAAGGTTCTAAGGTCAGTTGACGCTTCATGACACCATGCAGCGGCCCTGTATTCTTCTTGATAAACTCAAGGGCTACTGGTACTAACCAAAGTGTCGCATTAACATAGCCATCGCTTCAACCGTGTCGGTATACCCCGCACAGTTTCCATGATCTATTGCTGCTTACCTAAAAGGTTTCCCCAGATCTGGGTGTAGGATCTGTAACACCCAAACAATATCCTTAAAAGTAAAGTAAACAAATAGACAAAGAAGCAAAAATGATCTAGACCCTAAGGTAAACCCCACTTTATTATTTTTTCTCCAGCAGAGTCGCCAGTTCTGTGATACGGTGGCAGAACCGACTGTTATACTGGTTTTGAGTTTTTTGTTCGTAAATGTCACGGTAAGAAAGAGTCGCCACCGGATTTTCTTTTATCCAACAAAGGAAAGGGTGAAAAGAACAGAAAAAGACCTTTTCGAGATTTTTTGAGTAAGGGGGGTAAATTATGGAAAAGGAAGGTGTTATAACCCTTTCCATCTGTAGTTTTCTACGGGCTCTTAGGTACTTGCTCATTTTTAAAACTGTTTTCGTGTTTGTGTGTTTTGAAAGATTTTTGTTTGCTTTATGATAATTCTTGTATCAGTCCTCAAGAGTGTGATAAAGCGTTTTTGAAAGTAGTTTTTTTTGAAAGTGTGTAAGTGTAAAGTTCCAGGTTTGAGCAAGTACTTAAGAACTATCTACCTACTCGAAAAAGGACGTTCTTTTTCTTCTTTCTTTTAGATAGTGCTATCCTACTATTAGTGAGTAGGTAGCCCTATCGTCGGATGTTGATGGACTATCGAAAGGGACATTTATGGTCATTGAAGACAACATGTAGAGATACCTTAACATTTCGAAGGGACTGTCATCATATAGGCAACGTTGAGGGACAAGATCATTTCTCTTAGGCAACTCGAGGGACATTGAGGGACTATGATCTTTATGATGACTTTAACCGAGGGTCTTTGCTAAGGGCATCCCTACGTTCGAGGGACATGACCATTGTTTTCCTGAAGGCAACAAGTGAGGTTATCCTAGAGGTGCGAGTGTGCAAATGATTCAGTTCAGTTATTTATCTTGCAATTAGGGTTTTCTATCGTTCATTTTTATCTTTCCATACAATCCTATTAATCTAAGCATTGCATAAAATATAATAGCTGAAGATAAAGGCTGAAATGTAAACCTAGGCTATTACAAAGTTTTGTGACAGTTACATAATAGTGAAGAGTGCGGAAAAGAAATCCTAAAACTATTACATCCCGGAAGCAATTACATGATAATGATAAAAAAATGCAGGAAAAATAAAGCTACGCTATTACAGTTGAACGTGCCCTATACACTTACTTTATCTAGGAAAATAAAAATAAGATGAAAATAGAAAAGAAAATATTTTGATGATTTTTTATGAAAAAAATGATTTATGATAATTAATTAAATAAACCTAAAAAATATAATTAATTTTAATTAATAAAAAAATGTTAATTTTGAAAAAAAAGTTAATTAAAATACCTAAAACCTAATTAATTTTAATTAATAAAAAAAGGTTAATTTTGAAAGAAAAAAAGATTAATTAAAAAAAACCTAAAAACCTAATTAATTTTAGTTTAAAAAAAAGTTTTAGAAAAAGCTTATGTTTAATGATAAACAAAAAAAAGAATTAAGTTTGTCAAAAAATAGATAGAGGAAGAAACATCAATGGAAAATAGGGTTAGAAAATATAAATAATGTAAATGTCAGGGATGGGTGTTGAACCAAAAATTAATTTAAAACCTAAAATTAAATTTAAAAAAACCTAAAATTAATTATTCGAGTTTATTATGAAAAATCAAAGGTTTGTGAAAAACGTTACGTTTTATGAAAAATGTTTTAAACAGAAAGAAGGAAAATAGGTAAAAGGATAAATAGAATGGAAGAAAACCAAAACCAATAGGGGCGAGTGTTGAACTCACGCCCTTAACCTCACTGATCACCCCCTTTACCACTGCGCCATAGTGTCGTTGGTTATTGTTATGATCCGACCTCAATGTTTTGTAATAATCCTGCACGGGACCATTACGATGGTCCAAATTCTTACTGGAGAAGTAGTGAGATGGAGGTTGTAACAAGGATGATTTGTTTGTAGTGAGATGAGGGTTTGTAACAAGGATTTCAAGATTTTTAGGATTCTTGAAAGAATTTGATATTTTGACAGGGTTGTGGCAAAAGTTTTTTTTCGTGTTGTTTGTATGAAAAGAATGAGATTATATAATGGAAATTAGAGCAAAGATATGGACTTTGAATGTGCAATTGGGCCTCCAATAATCACAAGCAATAGTGCAGATTCTTATTCACTTGAGTCTAACACGTTCCAGGCTAAATCACATGGACTTAAGTGCAATTTTTGAAGTTGAAATATGAAAATAAAATATAGTCGACATCGAGAACTAACTCCTGTCTGAAAATGGGATCAATCGGATAAACTGTGAATTAGTTATGAATTTTTGAAGTTTTGGCTCAAACAAACTTATTTTGAGTTCCAGTGTCAACTCTGACACGTTCTTCAATAAAAAACTAGTATTGATCAGAGCGGAACCCGATCTCGACCTTAGAAGCAAAGTTGTAGATCTCTGAGTCAGTGACCTTGTGTAAAAAGATGGGCCCGATCCGATAAAAATTGACCGAGTTATAAAATTTCGAAATTTCGACCTAGATGAAATAATATTCAACATTCAGAATTTTCGACGCGTCACGCGCACTCTTAACAAAAAACAAAGACCTTTTAGATTTCCGTCGCGTCACGCACACCCTAAACAAAGAACAATTTCTAAAACATATCAAACTAATGCTTCCAAATAACAATCTTATAAACTCTATTGTTTCCGAGTAATAAAATACTTTTAAATATAAATTACTTTAACAGATATATATTGCTCGCCCCTTTACCACTCCTATCTATACATATCTCACACGATAAGTTGTTGTTACTTTTAGATCCGGGAATCATATATAGCACCGTATTTTTTGGGCAAATTTTAAAAAACATACGGCAACAAAACATTGTATCTATATACATATTAGCTAGTAAGATAGATCAACGTTTTTTTTACAGTAGTGGTGTGTTCCTTATTTTGGTAAAAACAAAATAAGCCACGTAACCCTTTTTGAGCCAAGAAACTTGACTATGATATAACAAGATGAACATGAAAGAGATCGTTATACAAGATATTTATTTATTTTTATATTATTTTATTTACTTATACAGTTTCTTTGCAATTATTATAAAGATCCAAAAATCAAAATCATATCATTTTATGTCTTTGTTTCCTTCTCCGTAGGCCATACATTAACAGTACAAAAAACCAAACCAAAACAAAAACATAACTCTTCATAACAATAATGAATTCTCGTTTTCTCAGCTTACCTCGTCGACACATGTTCCTGTTCCAAAAATTCTCACTCTCTCAGATTCATCTTCTCTAAGGTCTTTCTTCATCCATTCATCATTTTTTTTCTCTGATCTTCTAACTTTCATCAATTATTCCACTACTCTTTTACATCATGGTACTAAATCTAACAAAGGTTAATTAATTAAACTGTTCATTTTTTTTTTCTCTCAACTTGATTTAAACAACTACTAACTTTTTCTGATTTCTATATTCATTCTTTTTTCTGCAGAGTGAATAATTCCTGAAATTCAACACATGAATCATTGTTTTTTTTTCATGAACCTTTTTATGATTTCTCATTATTAAAATCTTAGATTCTGAGTCTCGTGAGTCAGAAATTGTCTTCATGTTAACTCACGCCATTCTCAACTTGCTTAACATGTCATATTTATTTCAGACAAAAGACAAGAATAAAACTACATAAATTAATATCATTGTTGTTGAACTTTTTTCTTCTATATATGTTTTGTACAGATTTTGAATACTACATCACAAAAACTTAGATTTGGATGGGGCATTTATCCTCTATGTTCAATGGTTTGGCTAAGTCGTTTTCGTTAAGGAAAGGAGGGAATTCTGTGAGATGTGAAAGGAGAGAAGCTGTTGAAGAAATGGCGAAAGAAGCTAAGAAAAATGATTTGATTTTGTGTAGCTCTGGTGTTGTTAATGTTGATGGTTCTAACAACTTTGCGTCTGTTTTCTCTAAAAGAGGTCAGAAAGGAACCAACCAAGATTGTTGCATAGTTTGGGAGGTATGAACAAAAATTAAAGATACTTGAAACTTTTTTTTGTTATTGTATAATTGTTTGTTCGGTCCGTAAATCCTAATTCAACCGACAGAAGCCGATATTGTTAGGGTGGACGCCATTAACAAGATTTAGACCCTAGTAATCACGGTTGTGTATGAGTTTCGAGTGGATATTGTCTGACACTATGAGTTTAGTTTTGTCATAATTATGGTTGTGATTCTGTCTAACTCACCGTCTAACGAAACATACACTTATTATAAGTTTGATCCTTCAAATTTATTTTAGGTTCAATGTCGGTCTCTTGATTAAGTTACAACCGTTGCGACTTTGTTCCTTTCTGTCAATTTTCGATTCGAGTCTGTCATTATATTTTTGATGATTAATTATAGGAATTTGGATGCCAAGATGACATGATATTCTGTGGAATGTTCGATGGACATGGACCATGGGGTCATTTTGTAGCGAAAAGAGTAAGAGAGGCAATGCCAAGATCTTTGCTATGCAATTGGCAAGAGACACTTGCTGCACAATCTTCATCATCACTTGATAATGATAATGTAAAGGAAATTGCAGACAACAAGCAACAAAGATTCAATATATGGAAACACTCTTACTTGAAAACTTGTGCTTCCATCGATCAAGAACTCGAACATTCTCGAAAGTTTGATTCGTTTCACAGCGGAACAACTGCCCTCTCAATTGTTAGACAGGTAAATATAGTTGGATTCACGCAGTCACACATTTATATTTTTAACAATCTAGATTCTTGGTCTTGTTCGGTCGACTTATACAATAAGGCGCAAGGTGCATATTTACCGAACTTAAAATGTAAACCAATTGACCTATAGACTCAATGGCACAGAATGTGGATCAGTATTTGATCACCATTTTCTGAAACATGAAAATCGTGACACGACATGACTAACCAATATATTCTATAATGTGCTGCAGGGCGAAACGATTATCATAGCAAATGTTGGCGATTCTCGTGCGGTATTAGCTACAACATCAGATGATGGAAGTTTGGTAGCCGTTCAACTAACAGTTGATTTCAAGCCGAATTTACCTCGTTAGTACTCTTGTTTCTGTTCCATCTCTAACTATGATAACTAATATATGTGTGTTTTAGCTTCTCACAAAACTGTAATAGCATATTTGCAGAAGAAGCAGAGAGAATAACTCAGTGTCAAGGACGCGTGTTCTGTTTAGACGATGAACCGGGCGTGCATAGGGTATGGTTACCCGATGTAGAATCTCCGGGACTTGCCATGTCAAGAGCTTTTGGTGATTATTGTCTTAAAGAATATGGTCTGATTTCAGTGCCTGAAGTGACTCAAAGGAGTATAAGCAGTAAAGATCAGTTTGTTGTGCTTGCATCGGACGGGGTAAGGAGTTTCGTGTCCTATAAGTTTTGTGATCAAATGCATCCTTTCGTCCTTTATATTTTGCCTTAATAACTCAACACAAAAAACAGAAAGGACTAAAACGTTATTAACGCAAAATATAAGTGAGGATAACCGGATGCATTTGGCCTATTTAAGAGAAGATCGAACCGATGAGACTTTTAGAGCATGATCGAACGTGTTTTGTGATGCAGGTTTGGGATGTGATCTCGAATCAAGAAGCGGTAGATATTGTATCTTCAACAGAAGACAAAACAAAATCGGCTAAATGTTTGGTGCAATGTGCAGTTCATGCATGGAAACGGAAGAGAAGGGGTATTGCCATTGATGATATTTCAGCTATTTGTCTCTTTTTTCATTCTTCTCATTCTTCTGAGCAAGTTAGCACAATTGAAACTTTTAAATAGATTGACATGTAAAATGGGCTAGTGAAGCCATACTTGATTATGTTACCTTGGTCATGTTAAGGTAGAGTGATAAAGAAATTGCAATCTCATGTCCTCTTATTTTTCTCACAGTATCTTTACAACATCACTCATATTTTTAATTTTTTAAATTTAAAATGTGGTGATTCGAGTTCTGAACCAAAATTCTATATGAAACATTCTCACATGAAAACCATTATAAGGTAATGTACTTGCGAAAAATATAATGATGATAATGACATTGCTCGCGTGTGTGATCACAAGAGAGTGTGATCATTGTAAAGGTGTGTCTCTCATACGAGACTTATAAATGTGAGTCCACCCCGTCCAATTCTTAAGCCTTTGCTTTTGTACAATCCAATTTATTGCCATGTTAGAGGGTTTTTGTACCATCATCCTTCGGGGTCTTTTAATGACAACATTTACGCATTTGACGATATATTTATTGATTTCATGTTATGGTTGTTTTTTGAGTTGGTGAAGACATCTCGTGAGGCCTATTCCTGAGGGACGGTGATGGTTTTCAATTCTGACTCGAACGAGATAGTCTCTTAGATATGACTGTTAAAAAAAATCATAAAATTAATTGAACCGTCGAATTAAACTGAACTCAAAATAACTAAAACGTTATGTTTTGTCGGTGAACCATACTATATTACACAAACAGTTCTAAAACTCAATCGAAATTCAAATCGAATTGAACCGAAATTGAACTAAATCAAAACTAAAAATAACGGTTGAGTCTTTAATAAATAATTCGGTTAAAAAAAATTATCTTCTAACAATTCTATACTGTTCAGAATTTTAAAACGGTATATTAAATCAATAATTTTTTAAATAAATTAAAACAGATCCATTTAATTCGAATAAATTTTTATGATAGTTTAATTCGATTAAATTCAATTTTCTTCTTGAAACGTCCCATAAACGCTCTTATAGCCATAGTCAAGTTTCTTGGCTCAAAAAATGTTACGTGGCTTGTTTTGTTTTTACCAAAATAAATAAGGAACACACCACTATAAGAAAAACGTTGATCTATCTTACAACTTACAAGTTAATATGTGTGTATATACAATGTTGTTGTTGCCGTATGTTAGTAAATTTTGCCTAAAAATTAGGTGCTATGATTCCCGGATCCAAAAGTTACGACTCATGCATGGTATGAAAAATGTATAGTATAGCTACTAGCCTACTATGTGGATAAATATATATCAATGATAACTAGTATATCTTATCTTTTATATTTTTTATATTTATAAGTTATGAATATTCGTCTTGTAGTTTTTATATATTTATTATCCACAAATATTTGTCATGTATTTTTTAATAGTTGACATAGCACTAGAAGTTAGGGGATAAATTACCTAATCCAATGAAAATAGAAAACGAGCAATCACTACAAAATAATTTGTATTTTGCCACGTGAAAGTCACGTTGCTAACACTCAAATCACGTCACTATTCAAATTTTGCCACCTTAAGAAACACGTCGCTATATAGCGCGTGGCAATCTTGTTGCGGCGTGAAAAACATGTCACCAAGTTGCCACGTGAAATTCACGCTGCAATATACTGCATAGGGTCAAAGCAATTCAGAGCAGAGCAGAGGGTCAGAGCAGGTTTACATTTATATTTACGTTACCTGTAGCGACGTGTTTTTCACGTCACTAATTAACGACGTGAAAATCACGCCGCAACCTGTTTTATTTATAAAAAAAAAAAATATTTTGTGTTTTAGATAGATTAATTCTGTTTTAATAATTAATATTATTTTTTGTTTTATTAAATTTATAAATTAAATATTATAATTTATTTATTAAATATAATATTATAAATCAAATTATCAAAAACAAAACTAAATATATCTAAATGTATAAATAAATATACTTAATATTATAAATTTAATAAACTCAAATTTAAACTTATATATAATATTTTTAAATATACCATATCATTATAAATTTATATTACACAAATAAAAAACTAAATACAAAATAAAAATAAAACTAAGCAGAATCATTAGAGTCGTCGGGAAGAAAGTCATTATTATTTTGGTGGTTATTATTTTGGCCACCACTGTTGGGATTTCTACCAAATGCTTGTATAAATTGTCGCATTTGCTCCTCCATATCAGCTTGCCTCTTCGCCATTGCCTCAATTTGTCTATTATGTTCACCCCTCATTGCCTCCATTCGGGCATCCATTTGGGCCTTCAATGTCGCCTCACGATCTTCGGACTCGCGTCTAGCCAATTGTCTTACCAGTTCTAACTGATCTGGTGTCAAATTTGTTTGACGTGACCCTCCTTCACCGTCTGCAGCTCTCTGATACAAATTTCTATCCCCACTCCTCAAGGTGCCCGCCAAATTTCCACCACCAAAAAAACACCCGTTAGGCCCCTTTCCCCCAACAACTTGACTCCAAATATAGAAATCCACATCTGGATGAACCGGTTTTTCTGGTGGAGGCGTATACTGAGGATTATGGGTCAGAAATTCTACAAGCAACGCCTGATAATCCTCCTACACATACAATAAAAAAATCAAGTTAAATGTATAAGTAACATTAATGAAATTAAATGAAATAAAAAAATAATAAAAAATAAATAGCCACGTGATTGTAACGCCACAACTTATCAGTTGCCACTCAATTTTCACGCCACAACATGTCACTTGCTACATGAAAATCACGTCACAAAATTGCTTTTAAAAAAATATAAACATAAATTTACTTAATTATCAGGGCTTTTTTTGTGCGCTCGTCAATAAATCCTCCCGATTTCTTTGTCCGAGTCTCCTTAACCAGCTCAGTCATCAATGGTTGTCTCCCCAAACGCTTAGCCTAAATATAAAAATTAACTTAAATTAATAATATGTTATAAATCCAAATATGACCTTAAAAAGTGGTAATAATTACCATGCGTCGAGCATGCTCAGCAGTACTAATGCTTCCAACAGCATTAATGCAACCCCCTTTTTCCGATGCCCTCATCTTCTTTGCAGTTTTAGATTTAGCCTTAAATTCATCTGATTCCCAATACTTAAGAAGTTGTTCAAAAACTTCTTTGCCTATCCATTTGGGACGAATGCCCAAAAGGTGTCAATTCTCTCTAACACGTCGTAGCATGTCAGAAAGTCGTCTTGAACTCCTCCCGAAATAATTTTTTTTTACTTTATTATGGTTCAGGGGATCCCAAACACATTTCGCCTGCAATGTTGTATGACATTAAAATAAATAGTTAGATAAATTATAACAATAATGAAAAGGTCATTTAAATAAAAATAACTTAAGAAATAAATTAATTATACCTGAAATTGCTTGAACCATTCTTCTTTATCGGAAACTTCTCTAAAACTCTTCAAACAATTTGTATAATTCTGCTGAATTATATAATTGATAACCTTAGCAGCAGTCCGACTCGGCCCGAAACTAAAACAACAATAATTTAATTAGCATAATTAATTATATAAAGTTATATTAAAAATGGAAATGTGTACTTATAAATAAAAATCAATAAATAAGAAACTTACGAGTTCCCTTTAGGCCATATCCAAAATCTCCCATCAATGGTATGGATCTCACTCGGATCATCGTCCCCTCGAAGATCTCTCCCATCTATCTGATCATCATCCACACCAAGATCGTCATCATCCGACTCTGTGTGGAATGTGGGGGTGCGACCAGTCTGTGTGGGTCATGAAGAGGTGGATCCTCCAGGCTGCTGGACGGATGGGGGCATCTGTGTAGGAAGTGGGGTGCTGGATCCTCCAGGCTGCTGCACGAATGAGGGCATCTGTGTGGGAAATGGAAAACTGTGCTGGAAGGATGAGGGCACCTGTGTCTGCTGGAAGGATGGCACCTGTGTCTGCTGGAAGGATGAGGGCACTTGTGTCTGCTGGAAGAATGAGGGCACCTGTGTCTGCTGGAATGGTAAACCAGGTGGGGCCCCAGATGGACTAATAAAACATGTACTCCCAGATGGGAACTGAAGAGGACTCTGAGATGATAGTAATGGAGTAAATGGCATAGCACTGTCCATGGACATATGATAAACCTGACTCTGCGGGGGAGGACACGTGGCTGAGTGAGGTGACTGGCATACTACTACCCTTGGACGCCTGGGCTTCCTACCACTATCATTAGGACCTTTACCCTTATTATCTTTCGGTGGCATTTTTACCTAATGAAAGAAAATAGAAGTTAACATATACATATTCTCATGAATACATATTCATTAAATCATTCAATAAATGGTTCTTTGAGTAAAATTACAAGACACAATTCTCATGAATACATATTCATTAAATCATTCAATAAATGGTTCTTTGAGTAAAATTACAAGACACAATTCTCATGAATACATATTCATTAAATCATTCAATAAATGGTTCGTTAAGTAAAATTACAAGACACAATTCTCATGAATATAGGTTCACTATTCTGAATCGTCATGCTCGTCATCCATTTCATCATCGTCATCTGATGTGATACTATCCTCAGATCCAGAATCTTCATGATCTTCATCCTTATCAACTTGATTCCCCTCAACCATTGTATCAGACAAACTTGTAGTGTGTTCATCTGGAATTACATCATTAACTTCAACTTCATCAACTTGGTAAGCAACATCCTCCACTAGATCGTCAGTTTCAATATGACCCAATGGTTTTGTTTTTATTACAACACAACACTGTCGCTTACGTGGCACAAATGAAAGATAAGGAACATAATAAACTTGCCTAACAATATTTGACATTATGAAAGGGTCGTACTCTTTGTACCTCCGGTCCATTTGAATCTCAACAGTACCATATGTCTTATCTATTTTTGTGCCTCTAGTTGGATCATACCATTCACAATAAAACAAGACAACTTTATTTTCTGAGTCCAAGTAATTGTATACTAACTCGTAGATATGTTTAACAAAACCATAAAAGTCATCTTCACCATCATCTGTAACTCCTTTCACAAATACGCCACTGTT